TGGAGTTCTAGTTTTAATTTTTTAAGAAACCTCCATACCTCCATACTGTTTTTTTATAGCAGCTATACCATTTTACAATTGCACCAACAGCATCCCAGCGTTCCAATTTCTCCACATCCTCACTAACACTTATGTTGCATGTGTGTGTTTTGATAGTGACCACCCTAATGAGTATGGGGTGATATCTTATGATTTTGATGAACATTTCTGTAATGATTAATGATGTTGAGCATCTTTTTATATACTTGGCCATTTATATATCTTCTTTAGAGAAATGTTTATTCTTTAGTATATTTATTTATTTAAATAATTACTTATTTAGTTTTATTTATTATTATTATTATTATTATTATTATTATTATTATGATTATTATTTTAAATTGACCAGAGAGAGGCAGAGAGAGAAAGAGAGAAAGTGAGAAAGCAAGCCACCAGGTCTGGGACTCGAACCACAGTTGGCCACATGGGAGTCCAGCCACCTAAACACCATGCCACCTGCTGGCTCATTTACTGAATTTAAAAAAATTGCCAGGGAGTATGTATGCTCACGGAGAGAAACAGAGAGATAGAGAAAAAGGGAGAGGGAGAAAGCACTCCCCAGTGGGGCATGGCCATGTTGCAATCCCTTCTCCTCCATTTCTCTACCTTGTTAGCATTTGGGGCATGCACACACATGCATCTAGTATGATTTTCAAGCCATCCCATGGTTGGCAATGCGGGATCTGGCTCCCTTAACACCAGGCCATGAGGCTGGTCCTGGTCCATTTATTACCTGGTTACTTGTCACCACGAATACCTGTTGGTATCACTGCTAGTTGCTGAGGAGAACTGAGATGAGCAAGAAACCTTTTAAAGAACTTTTAGGAAGGTTTTGGGGATTTCCCCCCTCCCTTAAGATAACATACCTGGTTAGTTACAAGAAACTTGAACTTTACAGAATTAAAATGACATAATAATTGAATCAGTTCTTGCTAGTATTCAGATTTTTTTTTTTTTGTAATATTGATCTTATTGGGACTCTATCTCACTTATCTGGCTGGTGCTGTATGAGGGAGGAGATGCACCTGCTAAGAAGTTTCCTCTCTTCTTCCTCTCCCTAATTCCCTGAGGAAGATGACCATGTTGGTCTAAGGCAGGAGGAAAGAAAGGTCTCACTGGCTTTCTTTGAAAGAGTGAAATATATTTGGTCTCCACTTCTTGGGAGCTTGTTGAAGTGACATCTATTTTACATAGTGAATAATTCCAAATTCATCTGCCTACTTAAAAATAAGTGGAGTCTTGGGGCCAGCAGGTGGTATGGTGGTTAATGGCGCAGGACTCCCACATGACCACCTACAGTTGGAGTCCTGAACCTGGCAGCTTGCTTTCTCACTTTCTTTCTC